TGTGGTAACGTTCTGGGCCGCTTGAGCTGTCTCTGCCTGGGTCCCTCATCTGACATGGGTGTTACCTTGCTTCAGGGCGCAATTGACTTGACCTCTCTGCACAAGCCTGAAGGCACCTCGCATCCTCGGTAAGTTCCATGCTTCGCTACGAACACCCGGGTTGTTTTAAATATAGGCTAACATAAACTCTTACAGCACACTGCCTCTCCTACGCTAGTTTTAGGTTGTGTTATTTGCGGGTTAGTTCATCACTTTCTCCGTGGGAAGTCCGGGGAAGTCTGCAGCAACTAATGTAGTAATTGCTTGGTAGCAAGAAAAAATGGTTTCAGCCTCCTCATTCTTTGCCCACATCTATGGGATCCCTAGCAGCGAGACGACTGAGTTTACGCGTGAGCGCAGGCGCCGCCGGACAGAATCGGGTTCCACGGATACAGCCTCTTATGAAGCCCGCCTGCCTGCACGTCGAGCAGACTGGAAAGCAGGATCTTGGATTTCTCGCCACGGAGGATTGCCGTCCATTGGCTGTGTCTATGGGGAGTTCTGGCAAGCGCACCCTCAGTCCTCGATAGTAGGACCCGTCGGTTGAAATCCTTTTAAGCCACGATTTCCTAACACGTCACGATTGTTTCAATTCTTGTGGTAGTTTCTTGTGGGGAATTCACGTGCTTGAGTCAAGCTGAATTGACCTCACTCCTCTATGTCCCCAGTTCCTGTCACCATCTGAGATGGGGCGCAGTGTTGGACGTGCTATTAAAGTCTCACCTATTGAAGTCTTACTTTCTATTTACAGTAGATTTCCAGTGGGGCTTGACTGTTATGCCACCTAATGGTCAAAGGAGTTGCTCTAATAGGTTTCATGGTCGATTGCTTCCTTTTGTTAACCAATAGGAGTCGCTCTGCTAGTTTTCTTGATCTGCTGGCTTTCTTCTCCGTCTTTATTGCCCTTCCCCAACATGTTTACCTACATTTTAGTTCAATAAAACAAATACAAGTGGCTTTAATTTCTTTCTTATTGCTCAGTAATCACGCACCTACACGGCACCTGGTGTGCCCCACCCTTTCAAATCAAGCAGGCAACTCTGCTTTTACTGCAGATTTCAATAAAACTAGAGAATAATTAAAACTTTGTGGTAGGGCTTTCTTGTGAGGCCTCCTAATGGCAAAAGCGGTTGCTTTAATAGTTTTCTTAGCGTGCCGTCTTTCTTATCCTTCCTCAAGCTTTTTCACCGGAATTTTCAGTTAAGTAAAATATTTACAAGCTTCTTTAATTTCCTTTTTGCGCAATTTACCCGCACCCAAACTTTCTTTGGTTCACCCCATCCCATTTAATTCCCTTTTGCCAGGAATTTCACGAGAGACTTGGGCTGGAAGACTTACTTTTCAAGCAGCCTCCCAAAAAGACCTACCAGAATCCCTTTTTAAATAAATGTTAATCGAAATCCTGAAATGTGGTTTCAATTTGGACATCTTAATTTAGTATTATTGTTATACTGATTACCATGCAGCCTGATCTCAAAATATTTCAGTCACGTCAATATGCCGGCTTTTGAAAGTACTTCTTTTTGCCCGCCTGCAAAACCTATACTTCGCAAAAAATGGCTACTTAAGTAGCCTGCATTTTCACGCCGAGTCTCAATGCCCTTGCAAATTCAAATATGTTTCCTAGAAAACGTGCACTAACATATTACCTTTTGTACTAGTCTGGCAGCATATTACGCCTTCTGCTAATTTTATACTTGAAGAAAGGGTATTTTTCGACTTTCGAAAGAAATCGAACCTCATCCGGTCGCTACACTTACAAAGTTTGCAAACTACAGGCTTTGTGGATTCTGAATACGAAAATTCACACGTTACTCTGCGTTGTGAAAAAGAGATCACGTAGGGCTCGCAAAATTTTGCGATGGATGTGGATTATGTTGCGTAGCTTATAGGCAGCATTAATAGATTGACGGATACGGTGTATCCTGAATGAACATTTCACTGCGGCTCCTTTGCCATCCTTTTCCATCTTAATGTCCGACGCGCTATCATCTGCACACGGGATATCGTTGAGGTCTGTGTGCATGGAACGTTGAGCCATCGTCCAACGACGTGGCCAACAACATGAGGCAAAAGTAGGTGTGCGTGGGTGCGTAACTTTACTTCATCGCTTTTTTCATCGCTAAAGCGCCCTAGACTCACCCATCGTCCGTAGCATCAGCTTTCA